GGAAAGAGTCAGAAAATGAGGAAAACTACTAAAACAAAACAAAGCTTCTCCTGAGTACAAGGAAGCATGATATTCCCAATTCTATCTTCACTGGAAACACAGTCCACAGAGTTCCTTGAAAGTGGCATCAGTCATTCTTACAGTGAGAAATACAAAGGGAAAATCAACTGTCCTTAGTAGACTCTACTCTGATATTAAGGAAGATAAAGGTACTGCACCTTTGGTCCTCGAGACTTGGCAGTTTTGCCCATCAACTTTTCGTCATCAATTTCACATTGTTCCAGAAGATCCAAAATATCTTCCTCCTTAAAAAATATTTAATTCAAATCATTATGATTAATGGACTCCAGAATTAATTAAAAGATTACTAATCTTGTGTACAACAAGGATTCCGAAAAGTATTTAACAAAGATTGCTCAGATCAAATGAGAAATAAAGGATCATGGCAAACCCTCTTAAAGAAACTTTCACTAAAACCTGGCAATAAAAATAATATTTAGCTGAAATCTATTATGTATTGGTTATCATAAACAAATATATCCTTATGTTCTAGCATACTATTAAAATCTTAGAATACAATACTTCAATAAATTAGCCTATTGGACACTTTAAAATTTCTAAAAGTTCACTCTAATTTTTCCAGACCGCAATTTCATCAATCATTGCTGTATCAATTAGTGCAAAATAATATTACGACTTCAGACAGAACACTGATGATTAGCCTAATAGTTTCATTTAGAACAATCTAATGTTAGTATTTAGGTAATAGGCACAATTTAATGAAACTTTTAAATTTTTGACTAGTGCACACGAGTATCTTTAGAACTTTATGAAAGGTTTTCACTCTATAGGCCTAACACCTTTTCTCATGCTCTTCTGGAGTCACTTTGAAGTCAAAGGGTAAAGTTATAAAAACATACACCCAAGTGGATGTTGAGCAAACCAGAGCAATAGGAGTACAACAGCTTTACTAAATGAGGTAGAGTTAACTGCTTTCATTGAGTTATTTATTCAACCTATAAAAATATCACAACTTCATTTATATAGTTATGATTTATATCTGTGTTTCTTTTTAAAAAAAAGGGTTTTAGAGAAACTAGAAATCTCACTGTGCAATGGAAATCTGAAAAATAGGTTACTCTTCATCCCAATCTAAGATGTAGCTATTAAAATATCAAAAGACTCTTAATATAAAGTTTGATTAAACAATAATCCTACAAAGGATTCCAAAGACAGCAGCACAAGACAGTTAAAAAGTAAGGAGTTCTACTTCTGTTTAGGAGAAAGAAGGTCATATAGACAGCATTTTCATCATAAGAGCTAAAAAAAGATGATAAACTAAATAACCATATATTTTAAAACATTAGAAAGCTGTGGATAAAAGTAGTGTAAAAGGAATTATACCAGAGAGGGAAAAGTTCTCCCTAAGTGAGCAGAGGTAAGTGGTCACTTTCTACTTTACGTTCATTTGTCAGGTCTGGACACAGATGAGCAGAGATTAGGTCTATAATAGAGAGATTCTGTGGGGGTAAAGAGAATCCAATGGAGTTTTCAAAGGTCACGTGGGCTGCTGAGACATCTAGAAGAGCCCCACAGAGCTGGTTCTCTTCGCCTGCTGGGTCTTTCCAATAGCAATTTTAGTTGAGTATGTAGTAGAATAGGAGGATAGAGGCATGGATGGAAAACCAGAACTAGAGAGAAGCTCATGCACTGCAACAGAGAGCCCGTGCTGCAACGAAAGATCCCGCATGCCTCAATGAAGACCCACGTGCTGCAACTATGACCCACCACAGCCAAAAAAAATTAATTAAATAAATAAATATTTAAAAATAAATTAAATAAATAAAACTCTATAACCATCGCCTGTAGTGTACACATTTTCTTCAAGTAGACTTGGACATTCACTAATATAAGTACCATATTGAGTTAAAGCAAGTCTCAATTTATTTTACAAGACTGAAATCAGAATATGTTTTCTAACACCAATGAACTAAACTAGAAACTTTACCAAAAATAAAACTAGAACATTTTAAATGTATGGAAATTAAGCAACAAACTTCTAAGTAACCAAAATAAAAATTAAAAAATAATTTGAAATGCAGTTAGTAAAAATACAATATATAAAAATGCTGGATATAAGGGTAATATACAAAAATAATCAGGTGTTTACATCCTGGCAACAAGTTAAAAATAAAAAAATTTACAAACAATATTATCAGCAATGGCAGCAAAAACATCAAATACTTAAAAGTAATTTAATGAAAGATGTGCAAAAACTATAAACTGAAAACTACCAATATAGCAGAGTTATTAAAGATCCAAGTAGATGGAGAGATATGCCATATTAATGGATCGGAAGACTCAGTATTGTTAAATCCCCAGAAA